TAAGGCCCAGCAGCCTGTGCAGCATCCATACCTGGCCTGAGCACAGCCCCTGAGCACCCCTGTCCCCCCACCAGACCTCAGACCTTCCTCTGGCAGGGCTCATCTTCCATTGCTCTGAATGAGAGGGGGGCCGCACCTGATCTGCCTTCATGGCATTGATTCTAGCAGGCTCACTACCTCTAGGGGACAGGAGAATCATCTGTAAGGAGATTGGAAGTACGCCTGCCTGACATCTTGGGTCCTCAGGCTGAGGCGGGCCCTGGGGAGCTGTGTCATTACCCTGCATGGCTTATAGAGAGACTCTATCTTGGGGGCTGCTTTGGGAAGTGAGGGCCTTCCCCCAGGCCCCTGCTCTGAGCAGGACCAATAGGTTTCTGCATGACTGGAGAGCCCCACTCTCCTCATTGACTTCCAGCTGCAGCTCTCAACTCCTCACGGGAGTCGCTGGGGAGCTTTAAACTACTGAAACCACCTCCACTCCTACCCCACCCCCACCCCCATGCCCATGTCATTGGTTCAGATTATGATCTGGCTGTGATCGTTTTTAGAAGCTACCCTGGTGATTCTAGCAAGCAGCCAGAGTTGAGCACGATTGGTTTGTGGCGAGCAGCTGGGTGGAGGCAGGGACTTGGCCCTGTGTTAGGCACTTTTCACCTATGGCCTCATGTGGTGGGTGCAAACCAGGGGCTCCCCTTTGTTCCTCAGCTGCCTGCCCTCCCACTGCATGCAGTTGCCCACCACAGAGGGTTGAATAGACTCCGAGAGGACAGGGACAGCCCCAGAACAGGGTGTGCAGAGATCCTACCCCATGCAGCTCTAGGCCCCAGAAGGCCTGGCCTGGGCACGATGGTGCGGAGCTACTCCCTGGCACCTGGGGAAACTTGGCCTCCTCCGAGCTCCCTCCTGCAGCGGCTTATCTGCGGGTCCTCTTGGTGGGTCTTGCTTCAGCTGCCCCAGCCTGTGCATCCACACCTGGCCTACCTCCCGGGCCTGGCGGCCTGGCCCCACTCCACCCAGCAGCCACTTCTGGGCCATTCCCCAGCTCGTTTCATTCAGCTGCTCTGGCCACCTTTCATTTCCTGGAACACACCAAAGTCTCCTCTGCCTCCCAGACTTGGCACTTGCTCTTCTGTCTGGACTGCTTGCCCCAGCCATCCCAAGGTCTTGCTGCAGTCATCAGCTCCTCACAGGGCACTCCTGACCGCTCTGTCGACCATGGGCCTGTCCATCAGTCCCTCTCACACCACAGCAGAGATTGTCCTCATTGCACCTGGGCAGCGGTTTTGTTCATTGGTTTCTTACTGCTTTGTCATCCAACTTGCCCACTGGAATGTGACATTCATTGAGGCACAGACTGTCCTTCATGATCATCATCGAACCCCCTGGTCAGCCTGGCATGGGGCCTGACACATGGTAGGTGCTCAGTTAATACTTGTCGACTCATTGATGAGAACCGGAGGGGGAGCAAACCTGGGAAAGGAGGCAGTGGCCATCTGGGGGCATGTGACTTCCTGGGTGACATTGGCAGGTGCGGGCACATGGTGGTTGAGGAGGCCACCCAGGAAGAATGTATGACTGAGACAGGAGCCAAAGGTGGAACCTTGGGGGCCATCTCGATGGGATGGGTAGAAGACTAGGAGCTTGAGGAGGGACCGTTGGGGAGAAAGAAAACCTGGCATTGTCATCACATCCTGGAGGAGGAGGCACCTGTCTGTGGGGCAGCACCTGACAGTTGTGGCCTCGGTGAGGGCAGTGCTGGAAATCTGCAGCGACCACCCTGGGAGCCCGGCCAGGGCCACCGAGCACCGGGGAGGTGAGGAATCAGGAAGTGGGGCTGGGTAGGACCCATGTTTACATGCCGCCAGGAGCCAGCTGAAGCTGAGACACAGGAGCGCGGCCTGGGCACGCATCTTCATCAGCGTCTGGTGTTCCCTGGCAGGGCTTAGGCCATCTGCGCAGCTGGCAAAGGTGACAGGTGGTCCAGGACTGGGATTGGCCTTGCAGGAAGAGCAGAAAGACAAGAAGACCTGAGCGTGTGTTGACCAAAGAGGCAGAGGAGTCCCTCTGGGGGCCGGGCCAACGGGCTTCCTGGCCTGGGCACAGTGACAGATGGGCAGAGTGGGATTGGAGAGCAGGTGTTTGGGAGTAAAAATCCCAGCAAGCCTGTAGTTTGGTTAGGAATCCATACCATGGACCTTCTGCATTCTCAGCTTTAACATTTGTAGTCTGGACCGTTAGCAAGGGCCCTAAAGTTCCCAGCCTGGAGCCGACTGTAGTCATTGCCCTCTTTTCTGAACTTCTGAGTCTGACTCTCCTGCCAGATGGGCCCCGGCCCCCCAGCCCTGCTGCTCTGGGGTCCTCACTGCCCACGGTATAGGAGCGAAGTCTCTCAGACCTGTGGAGTTTCATTAGAAGTTTGGGTGTGGGGGCGCCTGGGTGGCTTAGTCGGTTAAGCATCCGACTCTTGATTCCAGCTCAGGTCATGATCTCAGGGTCCTGAGATCGAGCCCTGCGTTGGGCTCCGAGCTTAGTACGGAGTCTGCTTGTCCCTCTCCGTGCCCCCTGCTTGCTGTCATGTATTTGCTCTCTTTCTTTCAAATAATAAATAAAAGCTTTAAAAAGAAGAAGAAGAAGAAATTTGGGTGTGGAGGGTCAGGTTTGGGTTTTGTTTCTTTAAAAAAAAAAAGTGGCCCATGCAGAACTGCAGATAGTTTGTGTAGCTACTCTGCCCTGAAGGAGGGAGCGTATATCTCCACAAGGCACTCCTTTGGTATGGGCTGTGCACTGACTTCCTTCCAGAGCCTACAGTTTGGGGGGAGGGGTGACCTGACAGTGGAGAAACCTGGCAAACCCACGGCCTCGGCCAGGGGATCCAGGCCAGCATTAGCAGTGTAAGTCAGGGTGACAGCACACACATCCCCATAGGATCAGGAGGGCACTTTACTCTGGGCTCTTCCTCACAAAACCCAACACCCCAGCCTTATCATGGAAAAACATCTGACGAACCCAAGCTGCAGGAGATTCTACAAAATTCCTGACCAGTCCTCCTTGAAACTCTCAAGGTCATCAAAAACAAGGAAAGTCCGAGAAGCTGTCCCAGCCAAGAGCAGCCTAAGGAGATGTGACGACTACATATCCTGTGGGATCCTGGATGGCCTCCTGGGACAGAAAGGGCCCTTGCGGGAAAACTAAGGCAATCTGAATCAAGGGTGGACTGTGGTTAACTAGCAACGTATCAGTCCTGGTTCCTGAATTGTAACAAATGTCCCATTCTGGTGTAAGATGTTACCAACAGGGGAAATGGGGTGTAGGGTCTATGGGAATTCTATTATCTTTGTAACTTTAAATCTAAAAAAATAAAGGGGGTTGTTTTTGTTTTTGTTTCAAGAAAGTGCAAAACTGGGTTAGACTCTGCTGGGTTCCGTATCTCATTATTTACCAGAGGGCCTGGGTTCATCTGGCACCCAGGGACCTCTGCCTCATGTGGCTGAAGGCCTGGTGTTTTTTACCTGCCTGTTGTCACCCTCCAGCAACCAGAGGAATGGAGCGAAGCTCACTGCTCTATCTCTGTGCCCAGAGCAGTGCCCAGCACTCAGTGGCTGCCCCCTAGCATGGCACGTGGATGGGTAAGGGTGGGCATGTTGGTTCTCTTCTCTGGGCCTCCTCCTGCCCCTCCTGTAGTGAAAGGACAAAGCTCCTTCTGCTCGGCCCCTCAGCCTTTGCTTCTCTCTGGGCCTCCTGGGAACCCACCTCCCCTCCCCTCTTAGTCTGAGTCCCTCTCGTGGCATGCTGTTGGTGGTCACTCTCATCACTTGAATGTATCACCAAGGAGAGGTGGGGACACCTACCTGTAACCCTGGATGTCTTTATAGTAACCTGTGCCGCACCCCCCCGCCCCAGACTTCAGCTGCTGCTGCCAGGGGGAGCCCCAGAGGCTTGACCGGGGCTGTGAAGGCAGGCGCTTGGCTGGCCTGGGACTTCGCTCCGCTCCAGCTTCTCCCCGAGCTCCCTGTCGTCTGCTTGGTAGTTGAGTTGTAGGTTTGGGAAAGTGAGGGACCCAACACTGGGTGGCACCAGAGCCCAGCAAGCCTTCCCACTCTGGGGCTCAAGTGGTGGAGAAACAGCTGGATGCAGCCAGCCAGCCACTGTTCGGCCCTCCCGCCTGCCTGTCTGGACCAGCTGTGGCTGCCCTCCCCTTGCCCTTGGAGCCCCGTCTCAGCCGGCAGATGGTGGGACTGATCGTCGTCGTTGCTTTGGTGATGGTGTCTGCAGGGTGCCATTAGCAACACAGTGTTTCTTCCTTGTTTTTTAAAGACTTTCTTTATTTGAGAGAGAGTGCGTGCACAGAAGCAGAGGGGGAACGAGAGGGAAAGGGAGAGAATCCCACGCAGACTCCGTGCTGAGCATGGAGCCCAAAGTAGGGCTTGACGTGGGGCTCAATCTCACGACCCCGAGATCATGACCTGAGTTGAAATCAAGAGTTGGACGCTTAACTGACTAAGCCATCCAAGCACCCCACATGGTGTTTCTTTTTAAACAGCCCCTTTTTTTAGGGGCGCCTGGGTGGCTCAGTCGTTGAGCGTCTGCCTTCGGCTCAGGTCATGATCCCAGGGTCCTGGGATCGAGTCCCACATCGGGCTCCCTGCTCAGCAGGAAGCCTGCTTCTCCCTCTCCCACTCCCCCTGCTTGTGTTCCCTTTCTCACTATGTCTCTCTCTGTCAAATAAAACCTTTTTTAAAAAAAATGAAAAAAAAACAGCCCCTTAAAAAAAAAAAAAAGAAATTAACAAAGGTAACATTTGTTCATTGTAGAAAATTTAAAAGTTTGCCAAAAGGTGTAACAAAAAACCAGTATAGATCCTGACCACCGGTGTCTGAGCCCACTTCCCAGAGGCCATGGCTTTTTGCGACCTCGTCCTCCTGAGCCCAGTTGGTCATCGTCCTGTTCACCGTCCCTGGCTCTCAGCCGGTTGACCATTGTGCACGTGTTCTCCCACACAGGGCACAGCTTGGGCTACGGCTTTGTGAACTACGTGACTGCCAAGGATGCGGAGAGAGCGATCAACACCCTGAATGGCCTGCGGCTTCAGTCAAAAACCATTAAGGTAAAGAGCTGCCATCGCCACCTTGGCCCTGGCCTGGGTGAGTGACCTCCCCTTACCTCACCCGGCTGAGGGGTCTCCCCCTTACTTCATCATCACTCTTGAGGGGACCACTCCTCAGAGCCCTGGTGCTTTGGGAGCATCTGATGGAGCTGAAGCAGTGCCTGTCAGACGCGTGTTGGGCAGGGACCGCCCTGGACCGTGCTGGTTCCTCTCAGCCACCTCAGCTCTACGAGCAAAGGGACGGTCACCAGGAAGGGCACTTACATGAGGGCAGTCCCCTCCCGGGCCCAGGGTGTGCCATCCTCGTGCCGAGCAAGTGTTTGTGCAGCCTTGCCCTCCCTGCCCCATCACGGCCGGGTCACTCATCCGTCCGGCAGGTGTTTATGGAGCCCCTGCTGGGTGTCAGAGAATAGATGAGTTCTCTGCCTTCATGGCGGGGCCTGTGTGTGTATACATGCACGTGCACACACATGTTCAGATCATACCCCAAAGATCTGAAAGTCACGCGTGGCAGAGGTAGAGGGCTGGGGGACGTTCTGTGGGGTGGCTTCATGTTGACCAGTGGCTTGAGCGAAGCAAGGAGCTGGGCAGCGCAGCTGGCTGGGGGGATCGGGCGGGGGGGGGGTGGCTCAGGCTGAATGCCACCACAGTCACTCCCAATTCAAGGGCTGTGGCAGCTTCCTGGGACGAGTTGGCAAGTCCTCCAGGCCTCACAGGATGGCTTCGTGTTCTTCTCAGCCTGCTCTCACTTACCACCCCCTCCTTTTCTCAGTCCCAAGCCCTGCCTCCTCCCCATCCCCATCCCCAAGTGTCTGTTTGCAGGCTTCTGTGATCCTGGGCAGCTCCAGACCCAATCTGGGACTAACTTTTTGTGTTCCTGACCTTTACTCCCTACTGAGCCCTCCTTTAGAATACGTGTCCTCCCATTGCCCCAGGCTGGTCCCTTGACCTAGCTTCCTGCAGCAGCTTGGCAGGCACCGTGCCTGCCTGCATGGTCTCCCTCGACAGGAAGCCACTTGGACTGAGACTGCCCTCTCTCAGCCTTTGGTGGACCTGCCAGATCCTCCCACCCCATCTCCCATCACTCTGATTCATGTGGGTGCCCACAAAGGTCCCTCTTGGGACCTCTACCATGGCTGGGCTTCCCAAGCTCCCCTGGGCATCAGAACCATGTGGGGTGCTTGTATAATAAAGGTTCCCAGGGTTGCAGCTTGGGCCTCCCAAGTCACACTTCGGGGTGGCCCTGGGAGCCCGTATTCCCATCTGCTAGGGAAGTCTTACAGTCTGGCTGTTGAGGGCGCTGTTCCGTGTCTGCTGTTGAACTGTTCGTGATATGGATTGCTCAGTGGTTTAATCATCCCCAGACCCACGGAAACACTCCTCAGCAGACTTCCCAGGCCTGTGTGCACATAGACCCTATTGTGTGCTCCCTGAGGACAGCAGCGCAGCCCACATATCTCTGTGGCTAGCTCAGACTCCGAGAGGGGCCTTCCCCTGTGGGGGCTGGTGAAGGAAACCACATATTACGGCCTTTCCACATGTCAGGTTACTGGTTCCTCTCCACCAGCTCCAGGTTGTTTATTCTCAGCCCAAAGCTCTCAGTCTGTTAGGAATTATCTTCTGCATTTAGAAAATGTTTGCAGATGCCAGGAGAGCAGACAGTTATTCAAATAGATGCAGAAAATTCATCGTTATACAACAAGTATGTTCTAGGGGCCACGTCCTCTGCCTGGTGCTGGGTCCCATGGCCCACGGCTGCCCTCAGATAGCCCACTTGTTAACACAGATGTTAATTCTGAGACCACTATCTGATCGTACCTGGGATGGCCTTCTCCCAACGTAGGGAGCACCAGAGAGGTTCCCTCAAGAAAGTCAGAGTTGAGATCTGGGGGATGAGGAGTTAGGGGTAGGGAGGGCCAGGGTGGGGACACGGGGGGATCCTTGGCAGAGGTGTCTGCAGGGGCCAAAGTATGCCTCTTGTGGTGGGGCAGAAGGCAAGGGTGGCCACGCTGGAGGAGACTCAGTGGCTGGCACGTTGTGGCAACTGCAGGTTATCCCCAAGGTTGAAGCCCCATTTCTCACCACGAAGGCAGGACCTTTCCAAAGGCTCGTCTGCCCCCCAGGCTCTGAGGTCCCGCACCCCACAGCTCACCTGGCTGTGCCTGGACCTCACCAGCATTCGCTCTGTCCCCTTTGGTTCTAATGTCATTCGTTGATCCGAGTAGGGAGTGAGGAGTCTCCCTGTCCCTGTGCCCTGTAACAACAGCATGGGCAACCCCGGTGAGGGGGCGTGTGCGGAGGCGACAGGCTGAGTGGGGCATAGGCGCCAGTCCTGTGTCATTTCCTGGCCAACACCTGTCGAGGGCTTACAGTGGGCCAGGTCCTTCCGAACCTTGTCTCCATTTTCCTCACCACAGCCTGGGAGAGATGATCCCCAATTTAGGCTTGAAGAAGCTGATGCTTCGAGTAGTGACAGGTCTCCCATGGTCCAGAGGTAGAGAGGGGCAAAGCCAGGGTTGGAAACAGGTGCTGTGGCTCTGGGCGCTTGACACCCCACTGCCAGACCGCTTCCCCGGCTCAGCGTGGGAGATAAACACCGGGAACCAGAACGGTATGCTTTGACTAGCTGTGAACAGAGCCGGGGAGACGGCGGTGCAGGCAGGCAGGCATTAGTAGTAGTAACAGCAACTGCTTTTGTCCCCTCGTTCAGCGGTGGCTCGCTGCCTGCTTGCTGTCCACCTGCATCTGTTCTAGGTGCTGGTGATACCACAGCAAACACAAAAGTTTTGCCCTCATCAAGTGTGCTACACGGTTAAATAAGTAAGAGGTAGAGTATGTCAGATCAAGATGCATGCAGTGGAGAAACTTCCCCAGGGGAGGGGGACTGGGCACTGCTTGTGGGCGGAGGGGCTCCATGGCCAATCAGGTGGTCGGGGAAGTGGAGTTTCTCAGGGCTGCCACCACAAAGCACCACAAATGGTGTTTGTGTGGTTGGGGAGTGTCAAACAACTGAAATTTGTTCTCACGGTTCTGGAGGCCGTAAGTCCGAGATCAAGGTGTGGGCAGATTGGTTCCTTCCTGGGCCGTGAGGGAGAATCCATCCTGGGTGCTCCCCTGGCTTGGGGGTCGCTGGCCGTCTCTGGCGCTTCTGGGCTCAGGGAAGCCTCACCCGGACGTCTGCCTTCATCTTCACATGGCATTGAGCCTGTGTGCGTCTCTGGCCAGTCTCCCCCTTTTTGCTGAGGACGCAGTTATTGGGTTTGAGGCCCACCCTGCTCTGGTGTGACCTCATCTTCATGAATGACATCTGCAACGACCCTCTTTCCCAATAAGGTCACATTCTGCAGTGCTGGGGGTTAGCACTGCGACATATGAATGTGTTCAGCCTTTCATAGGAAGGTTTCTGGAGAACGTGACAGGAAAAGACCTGCGTGGGGCGAAGGAGCCGGTGATGCCGAGAGCTGAGGAAAGAGGTTCTGGACCTTGTGTCATGGAGCTTACTGGGTGCTAGGTGTTCTGGTGCAGTCTCCTTGGATGCTGACCTGACTCTGAACTTGATAGTGGTTGAAGAGAAGGAAAGCTACGGTGTTTGCCATGGGCCCTGAAGAACCTGTTGTTGAAAGGAGTCGAAGCGCGTTTGGCCGTCAAAGGCATCTTCCCTCTGGGACTTCATCAGGGGACGATCATAGTCCGTACCAACCTCTGCGCCGCTTCACCGGGGCCAGGGTCTTGGTTTGGAGGTGCTCTTTGCCACTGTGTCCTTCATTAAAAGCCAGGGGCAGAGCCCAGATGCAGCCCCATCCAGGCAAATCTCTGGCCTGACCAGACAGTTCTGGGAGGCGCTCCCTGTGGACCCAGCACAGAACAGCCAGAGTCCTGGCAGGCCTGCCTTCCCCTTTTAGCCCTCCTGCCCGAAACAACGCCACTGCCTGGGGCCTTTGGTAAAATGGGACAGCCATCTGGCAAGGGTTTGAATGGGGGTGGGTTCTGCAGGCTGGTTGTTGCAGACCCAGAGAGTTTAGGCCCAGATGTGTGAGAGAGCGTTGACACACCATTCTTTGGAAGTCGAGGAGTGTGACCAAGCTCCAGTGAACTGGCCAGCCACCGCCTCAGTGGGGAAGGGTGCTGGGGAGTCCCTGCAGGCCAGGGTGGCCTCTGTCTCAGGGGACAATGCCACGTCTGCCCCAGGCCTTGGATGCATCACTGAGTGACCACAGCGTTCCTGTACTGTAGACCTAACCAAGGTGCCTCGGGCCTGGACACAGCACAGGGAAGCTTCCAGGAAATGTGCAGCTTGTGCAGCACTACTTGCTTGGAGGCCACCAGCCCCTGACGGGACCTGGTGCCCTGGGGCATCCTTCTAGTCAGGGCCACTTCTGTTCCATTCTCGTCTGACGTCCAGCCTCCATGATCCTTGGCGCCTCTGGGCAGGGAAGCTGGGCTCTGACCACACACACGACTTCTCTTTCCTTCTCTATTGCCTGCTCGACTGCTTTCTGCTCTGCTGGCAAAGGCTGTGTCTGTCGTCCCCTCTTAGGGCATGACGTGGGTTCGGGGTCAGCAGCACATGAAGGAAGGGGTACGTGTGTGCTCGGCCCGAGGAACCACACCTGTGCCTCTCCTGGCAGGCCTGAGCGTTGTGGTGAGAACACACCTGTGCCTCGTGCTGCCCAGTGACACCTGAAAGGTTGTGTCTGCTCCTGGGTTATGGTTTCAGGCTCCGTGTCCTCTCAGCTTTGTGACCTGACTCAGCACATTATTTGGCATAGGTCCAAGTCCCCCACCCTTCCAGAGCCCCCTTCCCAGCTTCCTCATTTCCCAGCCTCCTAACTCGTTCAGACTTGGTCCTGACACTCAGGTGTGATCAAGGCCCTTCTCTCCAGGCCTCTCCTTTGCAGACAGAGGGGCCCTGCTCCTTCCCAGCAGGGGTGTGGCCTCAGTCCCATCCCTCCTCCTGGCCAGCCATGGCGGTGGCCCTGACCTGGGAAAGCATGAAGGCCTGCCTGGCCGCTGGCCCCTGAAGCCTTCCCGCTCCAGGACACACACAGACCACTTTATCGAAGCCGCTGCCGAAGTTCCTTGCAGGCTTTCTTCAGTTTTACAAAACGAAGACCCATGGAGTCATTTAATATCGAACACTCGAGTGTTGGACTGCAGGCTCCCCCAGCAGCCCTGGGTCGCCTCTGGGCTCCGGTGGCAAGTTGGCCTGCGGGTAGGTGGGTGGCGCCCTTCCGGTGGCGCCCAGCTCTAGAGCCACTGCCCTTCGAAGGCTCCTCGCAGGCAGCACTGGGTCCTGTCCCCAGGCTGCTCACTGTCAGAGAGGGTGCGGCCCCGGTAGGAGAGACAGCTGGGTTGAGTGGTGGCCCTGTCTGCCGCCAGCTGTGGGCCCTCAGTCTCTTGGCTTTGAGAACTTGGAATATGTCTGCCTCCCCGTGGAGTGTAAAATCTAGGCGAGAAGATGCTAGGGGGTGTCCATCCGGCCCGCTGCTCGGCCCAGGTGAGCCTGCTCGCACGTACCGCCACAGGTAATGAGTGTTGGCATGGTTTCTCACCAGAAGGGTGGCTTTTTCTTGCCTGAAAAGTTAACCCCACCACCCGATGCTTTGGCCGCACACCTGCCCTAACCCCAGAAAGTGGTTTTATCTTCAAGGTGTCGTATGCTCGCCCGAGCTCAGAGGTCATCAAAGACGCGAACCTGTACATCAGTGGGCTCCCGCGGACCATGACCCAGAAGGACGTGGAGGACATGTTCTCTCGGTTTGGGCGAATCATCAACTCCCGGGTCCTTGTGGATCAGACCACAGGTACAGTGGGTGGCCCGGATGCGGGCTGCGGGTCTCCTCTCGGCGGGGGCCAGAGTTTCCAGGAAGACAGGCTGCTGCTTGAGTTTCGGGGCCATAGTTATTCCCCTGGGGAGGACAGAATCCAAATGAGAAGACCTTGGCTTTTGTTTTACGAGGCTGGGGAGGTAAAAATGGTAGTAAAACCGCCCCTGTGTTAGGCCAGCATGTTATGGTGAAAATACCAAGTGATCCTGGCCCCTTCCTTCAAGCACCCAAATGTCCCGGCCTGGCTTGTGAATGGGTTGGAAAGGCCACCAGTCAATCATTCACTGCTGCTCTTCTTGCAGGCACATGGTGTGCAGTGTGGGACAGTCTTCACTCACGATCCAGAGTTCCCACTTTTCACTGAGCCACAGGGTGGCTCTTTCTGAGGAGCCGGTCTCCAGTCTCCATGATTTGGATGCCCATTCCCCCCCGCCCTCCCCCGCCTTGGGTAGCACATTCAAAGCTCAGAGAGCTCAAGGCAGTAATTCCCCTCCCTGACGATCCTGGCCACTTCACCAGCCCCTCTTAGGTCGTTTCAGCCCAGGAGCTTAGCAGCGTGGGCTCTGGGCTTTGCTGGAAGCAGTGAGGCACAGCTGAGCTGAGGACGCCCCCGCCCCCGGGGAGCAGCCCTGTGCAGGAGACTGGTGCCGGTCCTCACCGTGCGGCCTAGGGACTGGAGTCGGGACGTCCCGTCCACTGCCCAGCCCTGTGCGTGGCGCTGTGTGGGGAGCGGTGAGCTTGGGCCGCACCTGCTTTAAGACCCTTGGTTCTATTCCCACCACGAGTGGGAACCTGCTGACACACTGGCAAGGAAGATTTTTGCTCGTGGAGCTCAACAAAGCCATTGGAAATCTCTGCGGTTGATTTTCATGTTCTTCCAACACAGTGTGTTCACCACCCCCTTGGCTGTGGTATTAAAGCAAACCCTGGGTAGTTTGGTCACAGGAAGTCCTAATTCCGAGGTGACCTCCCTTCTAAGAGACCAGCAGCACCCCCAGGAGATCCCAGAAAGCAGGTGGGCTGGGCCTTCCTGGCTTGTGACAGGTGGGGGTGGAGGTGTGCACACATTTTCCTGTGTCCCCCTGAGCTGTGCTTTGGGGTAGGTGGCCTGGCCACCTGCCCTCCCTTCCTCCACCCCCTCTGTGGAAGCTTAGCTCCTCATATGCTGGCCCTGCTGCCTGGCTGTAGTGCTAGGCTAAGGCCTGTCCTGGAGAGGAGTGGACAGCTCGGGTCCCAGGACCAGAGGGGGAGGAGGGCCTTCTGGAGTGTGGTCCACACGTGCAGCTCGCTGGCATTTCACAGGAGCTCTGGGTAGCCCTGTGCCTGGTGCAGACACCTGCTCTGACGCCAGGCTATGCTGGAGGAACTAGGACCACACCACGGCCTCTATTCTGCACCTTTGCCGTGGGGTAGGGGTGGGATGGGGTGGGGTAAGGATCCCATTTACTCGGTATCAAGCCCCCCTGATCTGCACCAGGACAGTTTCCTGTGGTCCCTAAAGCTCCCCTTTTACCTTCAAGTGCCAGTTGAGAGAGAACAATCCAGTCGGCTGGTCTGTGCACGTGTTTATCCCCAGGCCCACCTGTGTGGGCTGCCTGGGGACCCGGATGGCATGACCGTGCTGGCCCACGTTCTGCTTCCATGGCCCTCCTTTTCCTCATGCCACACGTCCTGCTTTGCCTCTGCTCGTCTCTGTCCAGCCCAGCATGACTGAGTGGAGCTGGCTCTCTCCAAGAACACCCCTGCCCCAGCCACCTGGCTTTCCCCAGGGGCTCCTGCCACCCTGAGAGAGGTCACTTCTGCAGACAGTTCCCCTCAGCCATTTGTGGGCCATTTTGTCTCCTTTCCCTCTGTAAGACTGCTGTCTCTTGGAGGGGGGCACCTCAGGATTGGAGGGCTCCAGGCTCGGCTGTGAATTCAGTGTGGCATCCACGGGAGCTTCACTCTCTCGCAGGCATCCCACCAGCCTCTGCCGCTTCAGAGGAGGGGACTGTCTTCACAGTCCTTGCGAAGGGTGGGGGGGGAGGGAGCCCCTGTGCACAGTCCTGCCCTAGCCCAGGCTGTTGAATTGGAGAGTTAGAAAGGTGAGCCCCCAGGACTGTAGGTTTCCATTCCCTCCTCTACTCCAGAGGGGGCCACCCAGCGGGGCTTCTCTGCCGGCACCCAGGGAGCCCCGAGGGGCCGGAGCAGAGACCAGCATGGTTGGCAGGTTTGCGTGTCCAGTTGGCCTCCAGGTGATGGGCCTTGTAGCGTGGAAGGCAGGGGGCAGCTCTCTTGAGAAAGCTTAACCTTCCTTGTTGACAGAACTTAATTTTTAAATTTTCTTTGCCTTCTTACCCAGTTTAATTGTGAACTTTATAGTTTACTCATCTGGAAATCGTGCCATTCATTGATATCTGCTCTTGATTCTGAAAACACTAGAGGAAAAAAAACCACCACAGGGCCCCCTTCAAAAGGTGTATGTTCATCAGATCATTTAGTGAACGTGTTTTCCCTTTCGCTAACTCTCTCTTTCCTGGGTTCTCTTCATTTCACTTGGGCAGTTTCCATTTGAAAGTCATTTTACAAAACCGAACAGGGAAACCGCCACGGCATACACACTCGCTCTCTGCTTGATGGCAAGGTCCTTGTCTGTAGAACGGAACCGGCTCCCTGAAGGTGGCTTTCTGCAGGAGCCAGCCAGCTACGGCTGTCGGTTACGTTTGCCTCAGGGTGAATCTCCATCCAGGCGTCCGTCTGTCAAAGCTGCCGTTCATGCTGTTCAGCCAATAAAAACAGTGTATGTTGAGTGTGTGGTTTTAGGTGCTCCTTCTGAACTGAAATTGGAAAATGAGCTCAGACTCTAGAATTTTCTTGGTACACGTGTGAATTGCCGGGTCTGTTCTCACTAATTCAGTGTTTCTGGCTGTGTGAATTTTAAATTTATATTTCAACAGTCATGGAGCCAAGGTGGAGGCAGCCTTGAGGCCCCTAGGAGCAGCTGTGTGGTCTCCCGGGCTGCTGTGCTGGGGGGCCGCCAGGAGGGGGAGTTTCCCAGTTGGAAGAGCTGGGGTATGTGCTTTCAGACTCCCTGTGGAGGGTCCACGGTATGTTACAGTTGTAAACAAAGAATCCTTGGCCCGAGGGTCCCTGGCTGCTGTCTGGTTGCTCGAATGGGGCCGAAGTGGTGCATCCAAGACAGGCATGGGATTCTAAGCCCAGAGTGGGCAACTGTGCCTCTCAGTGACACTTGTCACTTCGGCATCCCCCTGGCATGTCTGAGTCTCTCTGTGCCCCTCTGTGGCCTTTGGGCCAGTGGGGAGACCCTCACCCTGTGCCCATTGTGGGGCAGTTGGTGGGACTCTGTGGGAAGGGGTGAGGAAAGGTGCGGGAAGTGGGAGCTGCCTGGGGGACATCTGGTGTGCTCACGTAGCTGGTGGCCTGGGCTGTCCTGCTTTTTAATAATTGTCATTCACTGCATGCTGAAGGCCTTTGTCTGGAGAAGAAAATGTGACTTCAGACAGGCTGTGACTGGCAGTCGAGATGAGTGTCTGGGATAGGGCTATCTACCACAGTCCCTCCCCCCACCCCCCACTTCCACCCCAGTACACATCCATGACTCCTGCCATGGCATCTCACTCTGACTGGCCCTTGGCTGTCCCCTCTCCACTGCGCTTTGACCTTCACACTCGACCCCCTTTTTCTTCTCCCCAGAGAAGGAGCCGGTCCTCTTCTACAGCTCCACATTCCCTCACCCCAACCCCACCCCGTTTGTCAAGTTCTGCAGGGGACAGTTCTCATCCCTCCCAGGCCTAGAATGTAGACGGGTCAGGGTGGAGCATGGCTGAGCCCCCTTCTGCCCGGTTTGCTAGGTCTAACACTCATTCCAGACCAGACACCGCCTTTAGCAGTTGCGCCTTGGATCTCAGGCAGCCTGGTCCCGGTCCACATTCTTGCTCTGTCGAGAGATTGGGTTACATCGGGGCCCCAAGGCTTGACTTCGGCTGGCTCGGTCTAGGTAGCAAGAGGCAGTGCCTCCCCGAGGCAGCTGGAGGCCGGGACAGGGGGCCCTGGGCCTTCCCATGCAGGAGCAGGACAGCTGTGGAGTGGGCCCGAGGCAGGGACCTTAGAATGCAGCACCCAAAAGGTGAGTGAGGTGAGGGCAGGAGCAAAGGGCTGCCGGGTGAGGCTTGTTTACTAGGACTCCGTGCCCTCTGGGGATGACGGGGAAGGAGACAGCCTGCAAAGGACCCACCATCACTCCTTGTCCACAGCGGCCACTCCCGGGACCTGCTGGCAGGACAGGTGGGGTGGGGGGCAGGGGAGCGCGGAGTGCAGGGAGGGCCCCCTCAGCCCCGACCTCGTCGCCCGCCTGCCCTGCTTCTCGGCCCGGCCGCTCACCTGCACTTCCATGGGCACCTGGCGTGGAAGGAGCGATGGCGGGTGGCGTCTCTTCCCACATGGTTTTGAGAAAGAGGTTTGAGTGTCTCTTTGGGAGATCTGTCCGCAGGATATCGTTCGGCAGAGACTGTAGCTGCTGCTGCAGCTCAGGAGGAATTCTGAAGCGTTAATCTTTTATCGGTCAGTGTTTTTTTAAATTCATTCATTCATTTCCGTATATAGGTTTAATTTTTGCTTGCCTCATGAAGGGAGCATCCGACTTGAAGCGCAGCAGACTGACTGACTTGACTTTTGCTTTTCAGTTTTAAAAATCGTTGCTTTCCCCCCCTAACTCCGTTTCTGTTGGTTTGTTAAAAAGGTTTGTCCAGAGGGGTTGCGTTTATCCGGTTTGACAAACGGTCGGAGGCAGAAGAGGCAATTACCAGTTTCAATGGTCATAAACCCCCAGGTTCCTCCGAGCCCATTACAGTGAAGTTTGCAGCTAACCCCAACCAGAACAAAAACGTGGCGCTGCTCTCCCAGCTGTACCACTCGCCCGCCAGACGGTTCGGAGGCCCCGTTCACCACCAGGCGCAGAGATTCAGGTGGGTCGGGAGGCGGCGCTCTCACCAGCCCAGCTCTGCTCCCCGAGGCCCACTGGGCCCGTGAGGCTGGTCGGAGTCACTGCGTGTCTCCGGGCCCCCACCTCCATCAGAAGGTATCTGTGGGAAAGGATGGTTTGTTTCCATCCGAGTCTCGTCAGAAGTGGAACCAGAAAGGTGGTTCGGTCTCCAGCCAGCCCCGGGGAGGGGAGAGTGCACAGCACTCCAGGGTACGGCGTCTGGTGGCGTCTGGTGACCTGAGCGGGGCTGTGAGTGTAAAAGCGGGAAGACGCAGCCTCAGGCGCGCAGAGGTGAGAGCTGTCGCGCTCCCCAGCGTGCAGGGAGCCCTTGCTCCTCCACCTCCCCATGGGTTTGTTTGCATCTCCAAATATCACATGGCTTCTGATTAAAAGCCCCGTCCGGGAAGCAAACGGTTTTCCGACATTGCTTCATCTTTCCAGACTGAAAATGACTCCAGTTGCCAGGATCTTGTAGAACAGACAATGAGAGTCCGCAGCTTGGGCTCCCAAGTCGGGATGTCCCGTCTCATAAGTAGCGGCAGTCCCGATGGACAGGCCCTTGGTTTTGTTTTTGTCGAAACCTATAGCAGTGGCATGAGGGTTTATCTCAGGTAGGTTAGGGGCCTTTTTCTCTATGACTGCGCAGGTTTCCCATCTTTGTTTTAAGCGGTGAGGTTGGGTAAAACCCTGCTCGTCGGTGCAGAGGCCATTTGGGGAGGCACTATTTTCAGCACGTAGTAATGCAGAGTTCTCAACTCGGCTCAGGTTCCAAAGCTGGCCTTCCCTCGTTGGCTTTTCTGGTTTAAGGACAAAGGGAGGGGCAGTGTCTTGGGGCGGAAGTGAGCTCAATCCATTTTTGAAGGTCAGCGAACACAGTCTGTGTCACTGCTGATCAGGTGGGATGCATGGACAGCCGCATGCAGCGGGTTCCCAGTAACCAGCCAGCCAGGGAAGGGCGGGGAGGGGCTTTGGTCACAGGAACAAGGAACAGCAAAGAAAGAGGACCAGAGCAGCCAGAAATGCTGGCCGGGCAGGAAAAGGGGTCTCGACAACCAGAGTGGTTCACAGTGAGAAGAGCCGGAGGGCAGCATGGGTGGCCGGGGAGGTGGGAGGGAAGACCTGCAACCAGAAGGCGGACTCAGTAAGAGGAAGAGAGGCCCAGCCGGGGAGAGAGTTTGCAGCCAGGTCTTCTCACAGCAGGAAGCCTCCCAAATAAAGGAAGGTTCAGCTCTCCTTTGTACCATCAGAGAAAAGAATGGGAAGGTGGGTTTCATGGTGGTCAGGATGAAAGAAACCAACTCCAATGAGCTGGAGAAAAACCAACTAATGCTAATTAATAGGAATGAGGCGTCAGGTTACTTTCAGTACAACAGGTACATGAAGATTCAGGTTAACTGTCATAACTCGGGCTCATGTTTGATTTCCCACAAAACTGGGGCAGGGGACGAGGTCCTCTTTCCAGTTTTAATTGAAAACTAGCTTGGCTTACTGTCACAAAGATACAAGGGTGCTTTTTCTCACCCCCACTTCAGTGACATTGTGATCACTGTTCCAGACAGAGTCAAGTCCACTAACAAGCCAGCTGAGTCATTTAACCAACTCAGGCATCCCGGTGCAGGCTGTTTACAAGACTTTTGTACATTCAGAGCCACAGCCAGTCATGTCTTGATTCTTCCAAACCCTCATTGAAAAGAATCTCTGGATAAGCAGGCTGCACCTGGGGAACTGGTCACTCTTGTCTCATGTCTGTCAAAAGAATGAATCTGTTGAATGGCTCTTGAAGGCACCTGCTCACCCCTGGGTCAGCACCACAGCTCAAAGCCCGATTTTATTTTAGAGCAGGTCATGCTTCTTGGCCCCACGGATGCTGTATCACACTCAGATATTCTTAAACTGACCCAAATCCATTTTTCTGAAACCTTTAGAGGGCCATGTGCCTTCAGCAACAACTTTGTCATCTCCCTTAATTCTGTTGCAATGGCCACACGTTTGTAGAAGGCTTATTTTTTATGCAACTGAAAGCATTGTTTTGGAAAGGGTCCCACATTTTTGGTAGGCTTGGTGGACTTGCAGTTCACGGCCATCACTTCGGCCCCCGGCCCTTCTGGCATGCTGTGAGCCGGCAGCGGAAGGTGGCCTGGAGCCATGGGAAGGAATTCCCGGTGCCCTGCATTGGCCCTTCGCAGGGGTGTGCTCACCTGGGACCCCTCTGACAGGGGCAATCAAGATGAGGGCAGGGTACGATGTTTGGGGGCGGGGGGAAGAAAGAAAGAAAATCCGCCGCCCCCCCCCCCCCCGCCACCGGCCAAACACGTACACACATACAGAGACATAGGGTGTGAAGAGTGAGTTTCCTCTAGGGAGATCTGAGGGTGTAACAACACCTAGGAGGACGTGGAGAAGCTTCCATCCTTTAAATGTGGGAAGCCCAGGAATGACTAAACAGGACCCCCCTCCCCCCAGCGATAGAAGGGCTGAAGGGAGCAGCTGGTCACCAACAGGCCATCACTCCGAGGGACTTGGTTGAAGCTCTGCCCCTCTGCAGGCGACAAGTGTCTCTCCTCAGGGTCAACTCTCTGCAGAGCAGGGAGCAGCCGCCCCCCCCCCATTGAATTCCTGTTTGTGACCGATGGGGGTGTGCCAGCCTTGCCCGAGCCATGCCCCCACCCCTGCATCGGCACACCAGCCTGCATGACCTTGACCTGCATGCTGTGCTCTCTGTTTGCTAGGTTCTCCCCTATGGGTGTAGATCACATGAGTGGGCTTTCTGGTGTCAATGTCCCGGGCAACGCGTCTTCGGGCTGGTGCATCTTCATCTACAACCTCGGGCAGGACGCCGATGAGGGGATCCTCTGGCAGATGTTTGGCCCCTTTGGGGCAGTCACCAATGTGAAAGTGATTCGCGACTTCAACACCAACAAGTGCAAAGGCTTTGGCTTTGTGACCATGACAAACTATGAAGAAGCCGCCATGGCCATAGCAAGTCTGAACGGCTACCGCCTGGGGGACAAAATCTTACAGGTTTCCTTCAAAACCAATAAGTCCCACAAATAACTCGCTCATGCTTTTTTTTTTTGTACGGAATAGATAATTAAGAGTGAAGAAGTTGAAACTTTTTTGTTAGTGTACAACTCATTTTGCGCCAATTTTCACAAGTGTTTGTCTTAGTCTAAATGAGAAGTGAAAAGGTTTTTATACTCTGGGATGCAACCGACATGTTCAAATGTTTGAAATCCCACAATGTTAGACCAATTTAAGTTTCTTAAGTTATTTCCTTTAAAATATATATTAAACAGAAATCTAAGTAGACTGCATTGACTAACCAGTCCCTCGGGACGGTGGTGAACCTGAAGCATGCTTTAACTTCTAAGACTGTCTAACACTCGTTTCATTCGGTGTCTCCACAAACTGGATATAAAAAAAAAAAAAAAAAAACTTTTTAGTTTTAGTTTTCAAACTAAAGATGTTAGACAGATGCTGAGTGTGCGTTTTCTCAACCGCTTCAACATTTTAAGCGATTTCTGCTTTGGTTGACAGGAAATTGCTTTCCCCAGCAGGTGCCATTGCCACTCCTGCTCACTCAGCCCCGGGGCTCTGCAGCGGTGCCATCCGATGGGGGGGGCCGCCACCGGGGAGGGGGGCCGCACGCCGGGCCGCGCCGGGCCCTCCAGAGAAGGACACGCACAGGTTTCGCAAGCCCAGGCGCCAGTGGGAACGGACCAAAGAGTTTCAGGGAAACTCCAGTAGATTCCAGAGTCAGACCTAACTCCAGGCGCGCCTGAAGACGTGCTGCTGATCCTCTGACATCCCGAATTTCTGTGCACACGTTGCATGCACGGTGCCCCGCACACCGGGCGCTGGTGTTCCCAATCATTTCTCCACTTTTCCCAGAGCAGTTCACACAGCTCGAATGCCTAAGATCGCTCTATATTTTAAGAACACGGAAACATTTGAGCATTGTATTTCTCGCATCCCTTCTCGTGAGCGCTAGACTTGTTCCTATTTTAGTCGGATTTTGTTTTGAAACTTTGCTTTCGTATGAACACTCAGCAGAAAAGTACTTACTTCTTGCCAGTTATCTATTAACAACAACAAAAAAAAAACAAAAAAAAAAAACAAAAAAAAAAACCTTTGATTTGTAGTTTTAAAGATTAACCCTCCCAAGTTCTCTTCATAACTGCCTTGACATTCTGGGTTGTTCTGTTCTGTTAATTTTCTTTTGCTTTTTTGTGTTTTTTGTTTGTTTTTACTTTTGCATTTAAGACCATTAAATTTGATTTTGTTTTGCTCAAATTTTGTTTTGTTTTTTATTTTACCTTTTCTTTCTTTTTGGCTAGGTAAGGTCCAGACGGCCAGCATTCAGGGAGGATTTATAAAAGATCTTAAGAAACAAAGACTTGCCTCGAGACAAAGCATTTACAGGTCTGTGACGTAGGAGTGTGCAGTCACAGATGGCGTTTTTAAAATGGGGGAGCCAGTAGGGAGAGTCTGAGAGAGAGAGAGAGAGAGAGCTTGAGAAGTAGCAGGGCCAGACCTCCGGGCAACTCCTCAGGAGTGTGATCTGACTTTTATAAATATCTAGCGTTTAGAGAGAATCAAAAATAGGAGAACTTAGTACCAGCAGTTTTTACGCCTTGACATAAGACTAAAACACATAACAATAGGCAGTTTTAGTTGATCAATATCATGGAATTGTGGTATTATTTATCTATTTATCTACCTACCTATTTATTTATTTATTTAAGTGGAAAAAAAATTGGGCACAGCCTTCTCCAGAGCAGGTCAGTGTTCTGAGACGCCCCCCGGACCGTCTGAGGCTGCCTGTCCCAGCCCCGTTTCCCTCAGACTTTGTCGAGGGGCTGCCAACCGCTTGCATTATCCTCCCCAACTTGAGATGTTGTCATGTTGTTTTCCCACCGAAGGGGCCAAGTTCATACCTTGAGGCCTTCTCGTGAGTTGGCCACATGCCATGGAGGAACCCCCACCCCCTCCTCCAGCGGAAGTTTCCAGATCCTAAGTCAAAGCCCGCTTGCGTGCCTCCTCCTGGAGCCCAGAGCCAAGGCCCGTCAGCCTGGATTTGACACAGGAGAGGGGCCCCCCTGCTCTGTCTGCCCCAGAGCGCTCTTCACCGCAGACCAGGACGTTCCCCTGGAAGAATATGCCTTTCAGGTTGTGCTAGCCTTGGGCCGGTGTCTCCTCAGTGAAGATGGATTCCCATTAGGTCTCTTCCTTGACACACATTCCTGCCTGCCCTCACTAGCGTTCCATGTCTTACTTGAATTCTGTCGGAAGCAAAAACCGTGAAATGACGGGCTGGGAGCCAGCACCGCCGCTCCTTCCCTCCCCGCCCGGTTATCCGAACCACATTGATCACTGATGCTGGCACAGAGGAGGAGATGAGCCTTCGAGAGTTGCCTGAGGTTTCTCAGTTCAGTAAAATCCTCCTTTTACACGGGCTCCACTCTGAACAGCCTTTCTGGCTAAAACCCCAGCGCGTTGCTTTGGGAGTGTGAATTTGCAAGTGTGTGGAAGGCTTTCGCTTTTGACGTGTTACTTAACCCTGAAAAGCAACTGGCGCTCCCAGGGATGTACCAGGTGCTGGTCCTGTGTCCAACAAGTTCATTATCTCTTCTCCAGGCTTGTTCGCAAAAAGGAAGATCCCATTTTTTAAAAGTCACAATCCAAAAGAAAACTGTTTTATAAAAGTTTTTTACATAGGTCGATCATATTTGTATTTCACAAAATGAGTGCTCTCCTTTTTATTTGGGAATTTTGATGAAAAAAAAGAATTAAAGAGTAGATAATGTTAATTTATCAAAAGTTTGGTTTGGTACATAAATACCAAAGAGGCTTTGACTGGATTTTCTCTTGGCCTGCCTAACATCCCCTGATAGTTGTTTGCTAAGAAACTCCAAATTTGTGAACCTGGTTCCAGTTGAATTATTATTCACTTTTCACGCCTTGGCTCTGCCCTTCTTTAGTTTTTCATTGTACTATGCCAAGCTGTGGTTTTCTGCGCTGGCTGTGCCTCTAGTCGCACGTCCTGTGACTGGGATCCCCACCCCCACCCCAGCCTGCCACCATCTTGCCAGAGTAGCTGCGAGACGGGCTTTCCTGGCCTGTAGGCAGATGGTGCTGGGTGGGCTCCACCTTCTTTGTTCCCTGAAGGTGAGTCCTTCCCTTGCCAAGGGCAGCTGCCTTAACCTCTGAGAGTCTGCACTTGGTGTTCGTGTTGGAGACCCAGCATCCAGGGTCTGACCTGTGCTGCTGGAGGGAGCTGGTGCTTTCTGAGCTGGCAGCTGGCAGGGGGGCGGGGGGGGGGGGGGCGGCGGCCCTGCTGGATCAGACAAGTAGGTGAATCCGAAGGTTACTGGCAATAACTCGCCCTGGTTTGCCTCCAAACTAGGGCCGTTGACCGACCCCAAGTCTGCTGTCGGCCTTGAAAATCAAAGTTAACGTCACCCAGCTGTTCCATTTCACATCTGATTCAGCCTGATTTTATTTCTCTGTGCTTTTTGCAGCCTTCCTGGGTTGGGTAAGAGAGAGTAAGAATAAGCTGCCAAAGGTCTGTGTTCCCCAGCCACCCCCCTCCCCAAGCCCTCCCCTTGAAATCCCTGCCACCTTCCCAGGACCTATGGCACCTCTGGGACCTGAGGCAGCTCCTCAGGAAGCACCTCCCGCTGTCCATCAGATTCCCAGGCCCGGCCCCCAACTGAAGTCCCAAGTGCTTTCTGTTGAGTGGCATTGATGATTGACCCTTGCTGACGATAGCGGTAGAACCTGAATCCCAGACCTCCAGCAGGGTTCACACTTCCAAACCTTTTGATTTGCCTCTGACTTCTAATGATTGTATCGTACATTTTCCCACAGCCTTTTGGTGACCTAGTTTTCAGATTTCCGCTTGGTCGTTAAAAAAAAAAGAAAAAAATTATTTGTACATCACCGCAGGGACCTAAGTTTAGGTTAACCGACGGCTTGAGCAGCGGCTTTGAGAGGACTCTTGCATTCCACCAGGAGAGAAGGCTTGTCCGTTGGTTGGGGCCACCTCTTTACCATGTACTGTTCCGTTTCCAGTGACTTGCTCTGGGGGGCGGGGCGCTTGACCAGCTGGTTCCCGTGCTGTACAGTAGATGGGTAGACGTTTTGTATATTAGTGTGTTTTAAGTTATTGATTTGTTTTATATAAAATAATTTATTTTTCAGGTACCATTTTTCATTTTAACTTTGTTTTTACATGGGTTTGTTTTCAATAAAGTATGACACTGCTGTCCAAAAGTCAACAATAAAATGAATCCCATTGTGTTCTTTTGAGGATGCTTATGTAACTAGCTCTTTTTTATTATTTTCAGGGAAAAAAAAAAAGCCCTTCTCAGTTTTCCATCTCCCCATTTGCCTTTTTATCCTTGTGAATAAATGTTCTTTAGTGTTTTAGGAGGAAAAAGCAAACCTAGATTTTGATAATCCAGAAGATTTCAGATTAATAAAGAAGCTTTGAAAGAAGACCATTTTTCAAAATTTTAGTGAAGTGTGAATATTTTTTGTCAATGGCTTTCTCAAAGAGAATGAAACTTTTGCACCATTTTCAGAGTTTTTATAGAGATGCCAAATTGATATATTTACATGTAATGGAAACATGAAAAAGTTTTATTAAACAATTGTTCATAGCTGTGTAGACATTTTAATTCAGTTTCCAAAGCTCTCAAAGCGTATTTTTGGAGTACGAAGTGATATCGGTTTGGGGTGTTACTTACGGTTCCAAATGACTCGATTGTCCAAATACTTAGATCTTTCCACAGGGATCAGGTTTGTGTTAAATGCTGTATGTTAACTATGACTGGAATTCTGTGATATTTTGGTAATAAATGAAGTGGGCTCATTGAGATGTGGTGGTGTAGGGGTGATGGTGTGTAATTGTAAGCAGCCAAGCTGAGAGTACAGCGCCGGCCAGGACTGCAGGTGACTTTCTCCTGCCTAGGTAAGCAGCTGCCTTCTGCCAAGCTGTCCCCTGTGTGCCAGGCCACAGAGCCCTGGGACAGCCCAACCCCAGAGTGGAGAGGGGAAGGCACCAGGACATGCTCTGTGACCCACTGCCTCTGCCCAGATGCACCCCTCATCTGGACGTCCTCACAAGCCAGCCCCCTCCCCAGGGAGACCCAGAGGCCTCGCTTCTCTTCTCTCAGAGGTTTGTGGGCTTCCTGCGTTGTCCCTGGGTGTTGCCTCGCCATCTGCTCCCCACACCTGAGCCCTGTGGCCGTTCTGAGTATCTTCTGATGCTAATCTCCTTCGGTGATGAGAGTGAGTTCTGACTCACTGGGGGCACAATGGAGCACAGGGGTCTTAGGGTCAGAGTCTTCGGTTCGAGTCCTGGTTCCGCCCACTCCCCAGTGTGCAGTGCAGGCAAACCAGTGACTCTCTGGGCCTCAGTTTCCCCTCTGTGAAATGGGGGTCCATAACAGCCACCCATCTCCCTCTTTGCCAGATGTGGCTAAACGCCCCACGGGTTCCCTTGTAGAAGTACGGTCTGGTACCAGCTGGGGAAGCAGGGTGGCACTCCAGCAAGGGGGGGCTCCTCGGGTGTCCCTCGGGTGCTCTGACCCAGGGGCCGGCTCGGGACCTCCAGCCGGGGGCCCTGGGCAGCCTCTTGTGTGCCGGCAGTCCCAGGCACCAAGGAGAAAAGGGATCTGGGTGTCAGTCCTCCTCCATGTGTTGGACAGCAGGGCTTCCTGGACCAGAGCGTGGGTCCACCTCCTCCAGGAGCCTCGTTTAGAAGCAGACTCTCGGCGTCAGCAGGTCTGGGGGACCAGAGAGTCTGCGTTTCTCATGAGCGCCCCCAGTGATGCCGGAAGTGTGCCTCAGCGGAGCCTCCCAGCCCCCTTCGCCCCACATTCCCCCTCACCCCAGACCGTGGAGCCCCGAGAGGCTGAGCCCCGTGTGCAAGGGGGGGCGGGATTCTCTTGCCACCAGATGGTCTCCTCTTGAGCTGCTTTCGTTCTTCCGTTCAAGGTTACGTTTGCAAGGGCCTAATGCCTGCATCCCTTTGTCTTTGGATTTTGTGGTTTTTTTGTTTAACCTCAGTAATATCTTGGCACAATTTGAAAGGATTTCCAGAAGAGAAGGGAGAAAATCACAGACACCACTGTTGTCTGGGAAACTGCGGTTTGTGTTTAATAATAAGATCCGAGTTGCGACATGAGGGTGGGGGCTATGGGGGCACCGTGAACTGACCCCTTACCTCTGCCGTTGGCCTGGAGCCCACTCAGAGCAGGACAGCTGCTGGTGGCCCGGGGCTTTGAGCCCCTGACCAGTGGCAGAGCCCCAGGCTTTCCACCCCACCAGCTTTGGGAAACCATAGGGCAGTCCTGCAGCACAGGTAAAGCTGGCCTGGGAGCATTTATCCCAAGTGCACACCTTGCTTTCCTCCACGTGCTAGGGCCTGGCAGAGGTCAGAAAGAAGCAGCCAGAAGACCCCCAGCCGGTGCGGGTGATCTGAGAGCCAGGCGGGTGCGGCCGCAGGGGAGGGCCCTTGGGGGAGTGGCATCTGAGTGGGAGCTGGCTGAGCAGGGACCGGTTTTGTTGCTAGAAGGTGGTGGCGGGCTGGCAGTTGTAGCTCCTGTTGGTCACGAGTCTTGCTGTTCACTTTACAGAGTACTTACTGCCCTTTATGGGCACATCCCTGTGAGGGAGGTGTTACTCTTGAGTGTTGTTCATGTACCCATTTTACAGATGATATGACCAAAGCTTAGCCGGCCGGTTAGAGAAGAGATGTCTTCCAGTGTTTGTTTGTTTTTTTTTAAACCAATTTGGTATAGAGCATCCTAGGTTTGGCCGGCTCCTTAGTTTTGTGAGAATGAGGTCCCAGAAACAGTCTGTGCAGGGCCTGGAGCTCCGGAAACCACCAGGGGCCTCACAGGAAAGACTCTGGAATCCAGGGTGGGAGGACACGCTGTCTCAGCTAAAGCCAGTTTTTCTCTACGAGTGAATGCAAGCATTCTCCTTCATCCACGTAAATAAAATTGCCGCGTCCCGAGGAAACCGCTGTGTGGATCGTCACCAGATGTGGACGGCGTGGTGGGGACAGTCTTGGTCCATTTTGACACACACAACTCGTGGCAACTGGAAACTTCCCACAGGGGCCCCTCAGAAGGCCAGGGTGCCTAACCCAGGCCCACGGGACTCCCGAGGAGAGTCGCACATGCTCGAACTAGAGGCTCTGGGGCAGACGCTCCGAAGGCAGGTGTAGGTGTGCACGCTGCCTTTCCCCAGGGGGGAGGGGGGCGCTGCAGCGCGGTGTGTCTGTCTCTTCGAGGTTCACAGGCCTCCTCAGCAAGCTGGGCTGAGGCAGGCGGTGGAGGCCTCAAGGGCCGAGGCCACCCCCGCAGTGAAGGGGCGACTGGTGCCTCCGTCCCTCCCCTGCTGAGCGCGTCCGCCTCTCCGCCGAGGGCTGGGAGCGGGCAGGTCCATCGCAAGGGTTTTCACAGGGCATCCGTGGCATGTGCACTCACAGGGACAAATGGATCGCACCGCAGCAGTTCCAGGTGAAAAGCAGAAGTGACCAAATAAAGGGACTCTTAGAAAGGGATGTGTCCAAGGTGGAGGGATCGGAGTCCTGCGTGGACCACTGGTGGAAGATGAGGCCG